AAAAAAAATAAAAAAAAAAAAAAAAAAAAAAAAAAAACATTCCACCACATGTTCATGTTGTGCTTGGCAGCATTTTGTGAACTCAGAGGGAACAGGCTGTTTTGGCTGGATGGAGGTAGCGCAATCAGACCAAGGATCTAATTTACCCAGAATGCATTGCAGCGTAAACAACATGGCAACCTCTGTGTGTCAATATTTTATCAAAATTCATAAAAATTAAACAGCCTACAGTATAATTACTGTACTTTTTTTTTTTTTTTTTTTTTTTTTTTTTTTTACATATAAAATAAATATTTCCCCAATAAAGTCTATTGTAACTAATTATGGATGCCTTTAGAAGAAAACTTATTCTGCATGTCACATTTTATGTTTATATGGAAACTTTGTGACCTCCCATAATAACATTTACACATTTATGCACAAAGTGATGTGATTGGCAGCTATCTCACCATACTCAGCAGCAAAGAGAGCGCTTCTTCAAGACACAGGGATGCCTGCACATGAATAAAAGTAAAGTTAAAGTTGTTCAAGACACAAACGAAAGATAGTTATCATTTTTATTATTATTATTTAATTTTGTGCATTCTCCTGTAAGGCTGTTCTGGACAATTGTCCATATTAATCCATATCAAAATTACTGTTAGTCAGGTTATGACAATATGAAAATGGTGACTTCAAATTAAACAAGAAAATTAGATCAAAATAGATTTAAAGACAAACACTAGATAGAAACAAAGAATTAACAGATTAGGATGAAGCGCAAGTCCAGACCTCCTATAATTAGCAATAACATTTGAATTTTCTCTTCAGGTTTACTCATTACTTCCATGCATAGTGTTGTAGAGGATAGTCTACAGTAGATAATATGAAACCCAGAGAAGAGTATTATATGTTAGAGCCAACATGTCTGTATTCAAACAGTTGTTAATTTTACTTATAAGGCCTCATTCAAGCTTATAAGTATAACTGTTGCCCTGATGTAATGCTTTTTTTTTTTTTTTTTTTTTTTGCCACAATCTTAAGTTTAGGTCTACATGGCCGGAATGAAGAATATTTTTTGGTTGTTTCATTAGGGTCTGTTAAATATTATTACCAACAGGTGTGCTGTTAATTAAAGGAGAAACCCTGATAGCTCATATCTGACAATATTGCTTGCTGGCCTGTTAGTAATTTGACAGGTCATAAAAGCACGCTGATTCCTTGTTCAAACATTAACTTAAAGGATGAGACTCATTCTCTTATCTTGAAAGCACAGCTGTCCCTTGTCTTCATTACTTGCCGAGGACTTTAGGACACCATTATGAGCAACTTTGGGCAGATCTTAAAGGAGATCGGGGAATTTGGCTTCTTTCAGAAACGCTTGGTGGCTGCATTATGCATACCCAGCATATTTCTGGCGTTCGATGTGATCGGCCAGGTGTTTACAGGTATGAACTTCCCGCACCAGTGTAACACCGACTGGATCTTGGAGCGGGGACCCAACCTGACTGATGAAAGACAAAGAAACCTCACCATACCCACTAACGGCGAGGGAAAGTTTGACAGCTGTAAAATGTTCACACCTGTAAGTTTGGACCTGGAAACCATTGAAAGGTACGGACTTAACGAAACAACGGGATGCATAAATGGATCAGATTTTGAGAAGCACAGCCATGCCTCCAGCATCGTGACAGAGGTAAGAAAAGCTTAAGCAGCTCAACATAGAGAGACAACTTTGGCGAGTCTGCAAAAAATGCCACATAATTGTCACTGAATGATTGACTGGCGCTAAATAAGTGCTGACCTTGGAACACAGATCTGCTGAAAGTGCATAATTATGACACAAAGTACTTTAAAGTTAGACATGTTTTTTTTTATACGCCTTGATAGTAAAACAGAACAAATGTCTAAAAATATAACACATATTGATTACAAGAGTTTTTACAGACTGGTGAATGCTAGATTTATAGATGTCACTTTCAAAAAACAACAATACACAATTAAAGGTACTTTAAGGCATTATTAAATATGTCTAATTATTATTTTTTTAAAATGACAATACATGCAAAAACCTTTGAAAGGATTACAAAATGTTAAACACCGAAGGGAGGCTCAGAGTGGAGATTCCATCCATCTCACTAGATACTTGAGATATCTGGAAGAAAAAGGGAAAAAACACAAAACACATTAAATGAGGTGTACCTAAGGACATCAAAGAGGCATGCAGCAACATGATGAAGACAGTGGAAGCAGTGGTTTTCCTCCACACATAGCTTTTTACATGTAGGCTCCAAAGTTTAGTTTTTGTTTCTTCTGATCAGAGAAACTTCTTTCACATTTCTTACTGTAGGATATATCAAAGTAGCTGAAGCACAAGAATAAAAAGCTTAGAGAAATGAAGTATAACTCAGTTTTTCTTTGTCTCGTCGATGTTGTTGTCAGTTTGACCTCGTGTGCGACAGAAGCAGTTTCATTGAGGCGTCTCAGTCTATTTACATGGCCGGTCTGCTGGTTGGAGCCTTTGTTCTGGGACAGATGGCTGACAGGTGATGACCACTTGTGTCCAACCATTAACTAGGGAACAGTTAACTAGCAAAATTAACTTTTAGGGGCATGTGTTAACGTTTCAGCCTTTCTCTCTGTAGGTTCGGCCGACGTTTTGTGGTCCTGCTGTCGCTCCTCATCTTATTTGTGTTTGGAGTAGGACTCAGTTTCTCACCCAACATCTACGTTTACGTCGCTCTCAAGTTTGTTTGTGGCTTCTCAACATCTGGAATTGTTGCAAATGCCTTTGTCATTGGCAGGTTTCACAGCTGAATTTAATGGGAACTTTATTTCGAGTGCATAATCTATACCAATCAGTACCGTAATTTCCAGACTATTGAGCAAACCTGAACCTCACCAACTCACTTTAAGAGGCAAAAAAGTGTACATACATATGCTATATTTGTCTATAAGCTGCAGATGTCGATGTTGTAACACGAGATATTTACACAGAAAGATTTTTTTTTTTATATATACCCTACATGCTTTATCCATAACAGTGTCTGTAACACAGCTGCTTAAAAAGCAAGAAACTTCAGGGGCTGACCAGAAAAAGCCACTGATCACATCTTCCTCCTGCACACTAGAACCACCAAAGTAGTCTTCTTCAGTGTCAGAATTGAACAGCCTCACACACACTCCCTCATTCTCTCTTCCTTTGTTGCTCTCAATGTCACTTTCGTTTCACTCTTTAGCTTGTGCTGTCCTCTTCATCAGGCAGCAGTCCAGCCTTTTGAAAACCTGGAAAAAAAGTGTTACATTAGTCACATCGCAGTGTTCAAAGCGCGTGAAGAAGCGGCAACTTACAGTCTGGAGATTACGGCACATAGATGCTTGATTTCACACTTCTTATAATATTCCTTTAAAGGTGGAGAATGGAGTGATTCTTCAAAGTTTGCTCTCTGCACCATCATCTGCCATGCATTTTTTCCTCTTGGACTGATGATACTTTCTGGAACTGCTTTCTTCATCCGCAACTGGAGGATCCTGCAGATGGTGCTCTTCAGCCCCCTTATCCTCGTACTGGGAATCTTCTACTGGTTAGTATTTGGATGACTGCCTCTAAAAGTAGGCACAGGTGTGATTTTCACAGTATTAACCTGAGTAAAAAAAAATAATAATGGGATTTTATGACTTTTCACCATGTTAACACATGATTTAAAACAACTTGACCAGATTATTTAATTTGAAACAGCTTCTCAAGTTTAACTTTAAAACAGTGTTACCTCAGTAAAACTGATGGGTGGAACTTCTTTGGTTTCCACACCATGTCTGTGTTTTACATAAGGCAGGCAGAGGAGATGGAGGCAGACAAATTTCTTTCCTCAAGAAAATGAAACAACAACAAAAAAAAATGCCTGTGACCAATATGTTTCAAAACCGCAAACTCTGTTTTTGTGACTAATAGAAATACGTTGCAGCTTTCAACACGTCATGCAGCTGAAAACAGCCGCAAAAAATAATAAAGCATACGGCACAGTTTGTGATCCAGACTTATTTGTCAAGCAGGATTCTTCCAGAGTCAGCTCGCTGGCTCATTACACAGGGCAGGAAGGAGGAGGCCATAAAGGAAGTACGGAGAGCCGCTAAAGTGAACAAGAGAAGAGTGCCAGAGGAGCTGCTAGAGAAAGTGAGTCCCACCAATCACACTCTGACCTCTACCAGAAAACAAGCTCACTAATCACACCCACAATTTTTCAGCTGGATGGCATGGGTGCGAACAAAAAGGGAACCATGCTGGACATCTTCAGGTTATCGTACTTGAGAAAACGGGCTCTCATCATGAGCACTGTCTGGTAAGTATCCAGCTGGCACTTTAGTAGCTTTAACTTTATGAGGTCACTTAAATGTCTTTGTCACGACTTCACAGGTTCGCGACAAGTCTGATGTACTACGGACTAAGTCTCAATGTTGGCAACTTTGGTCTGGATATTTACCTCACACAGTTCATCTTTGGCGTAGTGGAGGTTCCTGCTCGTGTGGGTATTTTGCCATTCTTACAGTATTTTGGAAGAAAAATTTGCCAAGGAGCAGTCCTGCTGTTTGGAGGCGCGGCTTGCCTTGGCATCCTTGTTATACCAAAAGGTAACACAATCTTGGCTTAGAAATGTTCGATTAAAAATAATCACTATTACCCTTCAATTATTTTGCTATTACGTCATCTAATGGTTATGGCTATAAAAAGTCCAGCACTCATTACAGAAATGTGTTTTGTTTGCTCGTCAGATCTTCCCATCGTGATCACAGTTATCGCCGTTCTGGGTAAATTTGCAGCCACTGCCAGTTTTGCCACAGTTTACGTTTATACAGCAGAGCTATACCCCACCATCCTGAGGTAAGAAAGTAATGACCTGAAAGCAAAACTAAGGATCCATCTTTATCATTTTAGCTTTATTGAAGTGAGGAGACAGCTGACTACTTGATCTTCTGTCCCAACAGGCAGAACGGCGTGGGTCTGAACTCCATGTGTGCCCGAGTGGCAGGAATCCTTGCTCCCCTGATCCGTCTCTTGGATGTTTACCATTACACCATCCCCATGCTGATTTATGGCATTGTCCCCATCGTGGCTGGAGGTCTCTGTGTGCTGCTGCCTGAAACTCGCAACGCCGAGCTGCAGGACCTTGCTGAAAACAAGTGAGTTTGCACATTTCCCTCCCCGCCCCTCCTCCCGCCAGCTGCTTGCTAAATCACTCGCTTCTGTTTATAATTTCAGAAAATCATCTGAGGAAATCACAGAGAAAGGATCCTGTGCTCAAGAAGATAAAGAAGAAAAGAGCACAAAATTGTGATTGTTCCTGAGGTTACTGACATTATGACTATCTGATGTAATAGTTGTATGTTTTTATTGAGTTAACTGTAGAGTTTATCATTTGAATTATGTGTCACATTTTATTAGTTGTTACAATCTTAATTTTTTTTTTTTTGACAGTCCAAAGATAATGGGTCACTAATAAATTATAGTACTTTTAATGATATGTAAATGCCAATATGGGTCTTCGACAGTTATGTGCAGAAAAGCAGTGAAAATAAAACAAATTCTGTCTGCCTGTGCGATATATTTGGGTCCTAAACACGTCTACATATGTGTTTTATTATTAGCGTATATATGTATTGCAAACCATTAAGAAAAGATGGAGCAGTTATTTTGACACTAATCATTTAGTTGTTGTTATCAGAAAAAAAAAAAAAAATGTTATCGTGAGATATTATGATTGATTATGAAACATATAACTGATATTTGCAAGCCCTAAACACTAACAGTACCGTGTGGATTGTTAATTTTGCTACAGTTTTTTTCCAAGTTGATTCCGCGACAGAATAAGTTATATCAATGTGTAATTATATGTGGACATATGATTGAATGCAATCATTGTGTGCTGTTCATTTATTTATTTATTTATTTATGTATTTATTTGCATCACTTAATTTAACTATTATTCTGAGGTGACTATATTAACTAGATCTTATACTGATAGGTCGATTTGCAAGCTATTCACTGTATACAGTCAAAAACAACCAAAAAGTAAATATAAGTAATATTATTGGTTATCAATATAAAACCCAAAAAAATACAGTGGAAAAACAAAACAAAAAAAAAAAAAAAACACTGGTCCAACCTCCCTGACACACACTCACACTGGCTGATGGTTCCTTTTAGTCACTCTGACCTCAGGAATAAAATTGCAAAAAGTAGTTGTTAGATAAGATCAAATCTATTTCCTGTTAAATACTATGTAGGCATAACACATTTGCATTAGTGGAACTAATGTTTGTGATTAGTGCTGTAGGGTTATAGTGCAACTACTAGTTCAGTTAGCGGTCCCAGCCACTGTGCATCTGTAGCTCTCATCATGTCTTTTATCATGTCAGAAATGAAGAGAGCATCTCTGATCCTGGAGGTCAAGTTAGCAGCTGGATGGTGAAAGGAAGCATTTCAAAAGCTCACTGGTTTATGAGATCTACAAAGAAAGACTGTGAAGTTATCATTCAACACGAAAACATTCTTTGCGGAAATCATGAACAAAAACATTAATAATGCTCGAGCTTCACTCGCAGCAGTTGACAAGCCCACAGGCCCTCCTGAAGTTGACAACTTATGGCAGAGAAAATTCAAAAAATTACAGGGCCAATCTGCACATTCGCATCACATCCGGTAGTAAACCAAACAAATCCAGAATAAATGACCCAATTCCAGTTACTCAACTAAGAAATTATGAGTCAATCAAGCTCAAGTTCCTTACTTCAGCAATATGGTTGTACTGAAAGCAGTTGTCTCTGACTGCATCTGCTGTTTTGGCAAAGAAACACCTTAGTTGTTGTTTCTTAATGACAAGGAAAATCTTTATGCTTCTTAGCTCATTTTCTGCTAAACGAAACTTTTATTACTGGCACAGAGATCTAGACTTAATGGTATTATACAGTTATTATTAACAGACTAAACTACAGGTTGCAGTGAGGCTTGTTTGTCACTTTAAAAGTACCTTTTGAAAATAGCACACATTTCTGTATGAAAATGTTAACTGGTCTGATAATACTCTGATCAACTAAGAAATTGAGTCATGGTTTCATTAACTACACTGTAGATTCAGCTATAAAAAAAAAAAAAAATCACCTTGTTACAAGCAGCTAGGAAAAGATGCCCACCCAGGAAGTGGGAATTAAATCAAATTATGGTGGTATAGCAAAAGGATTAAATAGTATTAATTATAATTCAAACCAGAGCCTATTATTTTTTTTTTTTTTTACCATCTCACACTTCCTTTAGTTACGCTCCAGTTGTGAGATTAAGGGATCCTGGCTGGGACATTTTGTGACACTTCCTAACATAATGCTCTGTTGAAAGATAATTTTAGCTATTAAATCAAATTATCAGTTAATTAGAGAATTGAGTAAACAAAGTAGTGAGCTGTGTTTCATTTGATGTGGATTGTTTTCATGTTGATAATCTTCAGATCTTAATCATCTGCAATTTGTATCTGTACACCTTATATTACACACAATATAATGACATATCACACACCTTTAACCTCATCAAAAAAGCTCATAAACATAATGACTTTCATCTTACCTTACTCCTTATCTTATGTTCTTTAAAGGGAAGAGTTAATGATCAATCATTACACTGTAGGTGTGCCATGGAAAAATTTTCATGAACTGTCAACTACCAGAGCGAAGGCGCCAGATACAACAGGTGACAGATAAACAAAACTGCAGCAAGACACAATGACATTTGAAGAACAAACATAAGCACAATCAATAGCTTCCCAGGCATGGATAATTACTTCACAGTGATCCAGATTTCACCTGAACTCACACATACCTGGTACTTAAACCCACCCTGGGAAAGCTGATGACACATGGGAGCTAAATACTGATATGAATGCATTAGTTTCTAAAAGACAGAAGTACGATCTTATTGAGTCTCACAGTATTGAAATCCTGTTTGTTTCGATACATAATTATTAACTAAAAACTTGAAGTTTATTAATTGTCAGTGGGGGCCGGGGGGAAACAAAGCACTGCATTGCAGGGGCTGTACGGATCAACAGGGTGATTTACGGGTGAGTTAATTTTCTCTTCTGTGTAAAGTTCATTTAGATTTTTAAAGCTGACTCTACCTGCTGTGGTCATTGAATTGGAAAACGTGCCGAGTCAATCCCGTTTGTTTTTCCAAGGTCTGCTGCATGCTTACCTGTTTGCATGTTTACGTTCACAATAAATGTTACTCTGGTTCTCGTCATCATGACTTTTGGTGGCCCTTCTGGTCTGCTATACGAGTTAAAAAGTCTCAGGTGACCAAAGTTTTCATGCCATCACACACAAACATTTATACACTAGTTTGTGGTTGTGTCACAAATTGGTGCTGACAGCATATTGTGTGACATTAACTACCACTTGCATGCTAAATGTCTGGTTCTTTAGTTAGGGAGAGGTGCACACATTCATGTTTGAAAACAAAATATAATATTTTAGAGCCAGTAAAACCATAAATCTTCAGAGTGTGAAGCATGAATACACAGAAAAGTGTTTTGAGTTCAGCTCTCAAAACCAGATATGCACTTCTATATATGACATATTTTATCCTGCTGCGTCTTTTAGAATTTCATCATTGTCTTTGCCAAGGAATGCATTATTTTCTTGACGAAATACGTACTGTTACTATAAATAAATCAAATACATGCACGGCTATTTATTGAAATAGGAAAATGTGAACACCTTGGACACTATAATGTATTCTGAAAATATTTGAAATCTGTACTGGAAGACCCTCTGCATAAATTATTGGTGTAGCACAAGTGCTAGATATATACTGTTAATGAAAAAGCTACAACATAAATTATCTCTATTCATAACTTGCAAATTAGTATTTATTGTGCTATTACATTGAAAAAAAAAGGTTTTGTGGCTGTATGTTATTTGGATTTGAAGGAATCCAAGCAAACCAGTTTAAACTAGTTATTGGTTTTATTATGACTGATAAGCCATCTGTGTGTGAACAACAAGTAGATATGATGAATACGAGATTTAAATAATGTTCTGTTGTTCTTCATGATTAATCATAAATAATGTTCACCCAATAGTTTGCATCAATTACTACTTTTGACTTCATTGTTCGGATAAAAGTGATAAAAATGTTGGAATTCCAAGTGCTTTAGAAGAACCCTATAATTTGTATGAACATCTGATGGCAATACGCTGCAGGTGTGAAATCACAACATCTGCCTTCCCTTGTAGGTCCAACCAATGATGAAACTAAGTTTAAACTTCTGTGTCACCATGGAAATATTCAGATTTACAGAAAGCTGTAATAGTTACAGCTGCAAATATTGAGCTGAATATGATCAGATTTTGATCATCTTATTGCACGCTTGTAAAACTAATTAAAAATGTCTTTTTAATTGATTGATTCCGGGGGGGGGGTTTCACTCGTAACACAGCTTTATGATAACATGGTTTTTATCTTTATCTGTGTTGTTTCCCAAAGACATTTTATTGCTGTCGTAACAACTGTTGTTCCCCTCAAAAGAGTTACAAAGGCAGTGACAAGGACTATCTTATTTGTGCTTAGTTAAACATTAAACCTGTCTCTACTGTGCACATCTACGAGGAGAACTCTGTCAAACATGCCACATGCCAAGATGAGCAGCTTCGGAGACGTCCTGAAGGAGGTCGGAGAGTTTGGCTTGTTTCAGAAAAGCTTACTTGTTGCTTTATGCATACCCAGCATTTTCCCGGCTTTCGATGTCAGCAGTCAGGTGTTCACGGGACTCAGCATCTCTCATAGCTGCAACACGGACTGGATCTTGGAGAAAGGTCCAAACTTGACAAAAGAGAGACAAAGAAACCTCACCATCCCGGTGGACCAGGATGGGAGATTTGAAACGTGTGTCATGTTCACCCCCGTGGATCTGGATTTGGAGACTATTGAAGCACATGGCCTCAACAGGACAACAGAATGCATCGATGGCTGGGACTACGAGGTTCAACAAGGAGCTTCGAGCCTTGTCACAGACGTAAGCAAAAATCCATTCTTTTCTTACAGCCTGGCATTCCTCCTTGGGATTCTTAGTGCATTTTTATCTTCTTCTGTAACAACAGTTGCTTTTGTTTACAGTTTGATCTAGTTTGCGGCAAAAGTGGGTTAATCGAGGCATCGCAGTCCATCTACATGGCAGGAATCCTCGTTGGATGTTTGGTGTTTGGGGCTATTTCTGACAGGTAATACATTTCCTTTTACCTCACCATTTTGGGAAGAACTCATGGTACTAATATCAACCCTATGCTATTATTTCCAGGTTAACAGATTGTGGGAAATAACGCTTTTACTTTTTTTTTTATCTTAGTCAATATACTGAGACTATTTTTCATTTTAGTGTAATGTGATATTAGACTTATCAGATATTAGACTATTTCGGAGTTTCTGCACAGTCCTGACAAGTTTGGAAAAGTATGGAAGTTCTTTTTGTCATATTCCAGGTTTGACTAAGTTTGGGTGGAGCTGTGGGAAAAATGATCGAATTTACAGACTTCACTTCTTACTCCCCAATTTAAAAGATTGTGTCTATATTTATTTTAACTGAAAGAGAAAATAGGCACTTTTTTATCTTAATTTATATCTAAATTACTTACTCTTTTGATTTTCCACAGCACAATTTAAATTTTATGACAAATATTTATAAAATTTGAAGGACTGTGACTTAGTGGTGAGCAATCAGGTCTGGTATTTGATGGGCATAACGTAATTTTTAGATTTTTGGTATATGTTTGTTCTGATACCAAATCAAAATAAATAAACACTAAAATGTGAAATAGCTCTTTACGTCACAGCCTCATCAGAAGCCACTTTGTGTTGTTTTTTGTAGTTTGTAGAACTTGCAAAGAATAAAGCCAAAGGTGAATGTTTTAGCCTTAAATATTCAGAATTTTGTCATCGGTGATGAAAGAAATGAAGGAATCTGACTGGAAAAGCGTTTACCTGTAAAACTGAAAATGTGCAGGAATGAGTGTCTGATAGCACAGATGAGTAAAGTGGACTTCTACCATCTCATGGCAACTCTAATCTCAAAGCATCAAAGGTGTTTATGAGGCTGCATCGGATATTTACATAGAAATATGGACATGGTTATTTACAGACAAAATGGGGGTAGGAATCCTTACTCGTTCACTATTAAAGATTTTAATTTGTGAAACAAGTACTGAGAATGTAATATGCAAAGCACTTCAGATCAGCTGATATGCCTGAAGGCCGTCTGTACCTTTATGTTAAATTTGAGTTTTATGATTTAAAAATGAAATAAAATCAAGAATTACGTGTGATTTCTTTGCGTTCCTTTACAATTTTGCCCTCTAATAAAGCTCCGTTTTCTTTTCTAGGTTTGGTAGAAGATTTGCAGTCCTGCTTTCGATTCTCCTTTTACTGCTGTTTGGAGTGATTACGGCTTTCTCACCAAACATCTACGTTTACATAATCTTTAAATTTTTATGTGGGTCTTCAGGTGGTGTCATTGTTATGAACACATGTGTCATGGGTAGGTCAGCATTTTACTGTTTTGTTTTGCTTGAACCCTGACTTACACAGATCTTATGTATTTAGCTCTAAGCAAAGTATGAAGGTGCAGTTTTAACATTCCAAACGTTTTAAGCTCTTACGCTTCACCAGTGTCACATAATTATGACCATAAGTGACTTTTCTCCTAATCTGGTTTCCAGCGGTGGAGTGGACTGACGTTTCAAAGTCTGCTCTTTGCACAACGACCATCATCGCTTTCTTTTCAATCGGACAGATGCTTCTGTCTGGTGTTGCATATTTGATCCGAAACTGGAGGATCCTGCAACTCGTGCTCTTCAGCCCTCTTATTGTAATCCTGTTGCTCTTCTTCTGGTTCGTAGCAGAAAAATTACGTCGCCAACTAAGACGTTGCTTTTGCAGGCTTTAGTTGCATTGGAGGTCTTTTCTCGACAGGTTTCTCCCAGAATCATCTCGATGGCTGATGACGCACAACAGGAAGGAGGAGGCCGTGAAGGAGCTCCTCCGGGCAGCCAGAGTTAACAAACGAAGAGTACCAGGAGATCTGCTAGACAAGGTTTCCATCCACATGTAAACTTCAGAAACCTCGAATGTCTTCCTCAGACCTGATTTTAATATATTTGCCTGGATGGCTCTGAATCTACAGTTTTATGTCTTCGCATGCGTCTTTAAATATAAAAAGTTTTTCTGTGACATTACAAAATACAGCCAACTAAGCTTTATTTCTTGGTCTGAATTGTTTCATTTGAAGCAACAAAAAGAAAATCAGTTCAGGATTTCATTGTCAGAGCAAAGACCAAAAGTATTTTTGGGCTGATCTTTCACTTCATCAGAATCAAGCGGGATTATGTTAACTTAAAACAAGCAATCTGAAGTCATGTAAGTGAAGTACTTAAAAGTGGTGGATTATTTGACTTTTTTTAAAAAGTTTATATCATACTATAATGTTATTATAGTATGAGCTGTACGAGTTCATATTTTTTTAAAGTGAAGGTCAACATGACAAAGACATAGAAAAGCAGGAGAAAAAAACTTCATGGTGACTTACAACCTCTATTAGATATTTTCACAGCCAACGCTGAAAGCAGCCAGATTAGACAGGACTCTATTATGTAGAATAAAAATAATAATAATAATTTAAAAAAAACAAAACATGATGGAGAAGCATTGTTGTGATGAGGTACTGAACGGGGAATGTCTAAAGGGTAGGAGGTTCCCGCAGTCTTAAAAGTCATTTAAATCCATGAGGTTTTTAAATTGTGTGGGGTCTGGCAGGTTCCCACTGACGCCATGTGCACTTTTACAAGGTTTGATTTTTTTTTTTTTTTTTTTTGTATGGTTTCATAAATTGATGATCTGATCCCACCGGATCCCCTATTTCCAGCAATGTCATTTCTTTTTTCCTCCTGTGGGAGGGTTAAAGAGACAGAGGCCAATTTCAAGGCATCAGATAAAAATGCAAAGTGCATTTCCGTCTGTTATTTATAATATACACAGTCTTCCATAACAATGTTTTAGGTTAGGACAATGCAGTGTCTAAATAACGCCATAATCACCAAAATGTCTATAACTGTATTTTTGTGGAAATTTTCCTGAAGTTCATTTTCAACATTGTAGGTAAATTTGGAAACTACTCCGGACAGAAAGAACATGACGGACATCCTCCGCATATCATATTTGAGGAAACGCACTCTAATAATGAGCTTTAACTGGTTTGTCTTCTTAAGAATCCATTTGCTTTAAAAAAAAAAAAGTTACCATGTGCAGATATATCACAGTAGTCAAGCTAATGGTGCATCTGATTTCAGGTTTGCAGCCAGCTTCCTGTTTTATGGACTGAGCCTAAATATAGGGAGTTTCGGCCTAAATATCTACCTCACCCAGCTCATCTTTGGCGCTGTTGAAATTCCTGCCAATGTGGCTTGTCTGACTATGATTCAGCGTTTTGGGAGGAGAATATGTCAGGCAGGCTTCCTTTTCCTTGGAGGAGTCTCTTGTTTGGTTGCCACTGCAGTCCCAAGAGGTAACCATATTAGCTGTTTGTAGTTTGTGGTTTTCTTACACTTTTTTTTTTGTTTTTATTTTTTATTTTTTAATATGCTAATCACATTTGTATTTTTTTAATATGATAATCACATTTGTTTTATACCCACCAGCTCTGCCTGTGCTGGTGACAGTCATTGCTATGATGGGAAAATTTTCTGCTGCAGCTGCCTTCACTACAGCCTATGTCTATACGGCTGAATTATATCCTACTGATATAAGGTATTACTGCTCATTCCTTAAAAAAAAAACTAAATACACTGTGAAGTCTAGAAAAGAAGAAGAAAAAAAGCTGATTTGGTTCAAATATGCATTGAAATAAACACCCAATTAAAAGGAGGAGACAACTTTTTTTCACTTATTTTTTTGGGCAATTCAACATTACAAGTTGTCCAGATAGAAATTACATTTTTAGATGCCAGCCAACATTCCAAACTCAGTAAACAAACTTTCAAACACACATTACAAACTCTCGCCATAAGTGTAACAAATACAGGCAACACTGTCCAAATCATATTACATTATCTGTTATCCTATTTTAAACAGCATTTTCTTTTATTTTCTAGGGAAGTAACATTACCGCCACCTAGTGGTAAATTTGTTCCTTGTTTTCATCCTATACAAGTTTTGCTGCACTGCCCTAAAATCCCCTGTATCTTCTGAGATAACCAAGTCAAGGCACTAAAATGAGTCTTTCCCAAAATCTCTGAAAACTGTGACAGTCGTGTAGTGTGTCACCTTCTTTCAAAATATTACATTGTATAATCCAATTCTATTGGCTGTGTAGGGGGCTGTAAATAAAAGCAATTTACAGAATCAAATAACTGTGAACATCATATTTTACGTTACATATTCTTACAAATTTGGTTGTGTAGAGCCAAGAGTTGTTTGGCATTAGTGCTCCACTCACAAATTAATTTCCCATGCAAGTATTGTGTCATTTAAAATAGAAATAAACGGGCTTTTCTTAGGGGTGACATTTAAAAATACAAATAAGTATTATTTCTACAAAGGAATAATCAACCAAATGAAGCTTTCTTTATTTCTTGTGTAGAGTTAAGTACATATTTAATTAGAGTCATATTGACTATTGTTACCAAACTCATTTTAGCTCTGGCTGTGCTATCTTGCAGACATAGCGGTATGGGTGTGAACTCTATGTGTGCTCGGGTGGCGGGCATCCTCTCACCACTGGTCAGGCTCTTGCAGGCCTACCACTACAGCGTTCCCATGGTGGTTTATGGCATCATCCCGATGGCTGCTGGTTGTTTCAGCCTGTTGCTCCCTGAAACACTCAATGTCGAACTCCAGGACCACATTGAACTGAAGTAAGCTGAGCACTACGACTAATAGCAACATGTGTTATTTTCCCTGCATTGCACCGTAATTAATACGCGTGTCGCTTGTTGTGTTTTTGAAATAGAAAATCCACAAATGCACCAGAGGGCAGCCAACACTTCGATGAAGGGATGGAGGAGAAACTATGAATCTGAATATAAACTATAATTTGTTGCATTTCTTAATCATTTACTAACATTTGTAACAGATCTAACTAAAAAAAAAAAAAACATTTTAGGAGGAACTGTTTAAATATGTTTAATGTGGTATGTTCTCATTCAGTGACTGTTGCACAGCATTCTAGGCAGCTTTATCTTTTAAAAATGTGTTTTATAGCTTATAAGTTCATTTGATTTTAATTTAACGGTTTTCTGTTGGCAAAAAAAATCCAAACTTTTCCATATTTGTACATTTAATAAACTTAGGAAACCAATGCTAGGCTTCCCAAGACTTTCAAAATTCCTTACCATCGCAGTCTCCTTTTTTTTTCACTTGGATAAATCATCAATAAATAACCTTTGTGATTTTTATGGGTTGCCTTTAAGCGGAAGTTGAATGTGATATAATTTTTTTTTTTTTTTATGGCTCATTTGTTCTTGTTTTGGCAACAAGAGTACTTTAGCTCGGCTATATTTAAAATCCGCTACGTCTATAGTTTATGAATTCTGGACAAGATCATCTCACGCTAAATGCAGTTTATGATCTGTTTAACTCCATTTTGTCTGAACTCTTCACTTGCATTGTTTACAGAAGAGTCATTTCTGTAACACTTATCAATGTTATCAGTGTTATTCTAACAGTTTGGCTGTGTTGTATTTTATTGTCCTTGGAGAAATCATGAAGTAATAAGAACTGAGGACATACCATTACTTTATCTTGGCTCATCTTACCTGTGCTTGGTTAATTATTAAATGTGCCTAATAGTGGCTTTAGTCTCTCTACTCCTGCTTCAGATCCTCAACCTGCAAATGGATGAGCCACATGCCAAGAGGAGCAGCTTCAGAGACGTCCTGAAGGAGGTCGGGGCGTTCGGTTTGTTTCAGAAAAGCTTGCTCATTGCGCTGTGCATACCCAGCATTTTCCCAGCTTTCGATGTGACAAGTCAGGTGTTTACTGGAATGAGTTTCCCACATCACTGTAACACTGACTGGATTTTGGAGCGTGGACCAAACCTAACCAAAGAGAGGCAGAGGAATCTCACTATCCCCGTGGATGAGAATGGAAGATTTGAAAGTTGCAAAATGTTCACCCCTGTGGATCTGGATTTGGAAACGATTGAGAAGTATGGTCTCAACAGGACAACGGGATGCATCAGTGGCTGGGACTATGAGGTCCAACCTGGTGTTTCCAACATTGTGACAGAGGTAAAAAAAAAAAAAAAAAAAATTATAAAAACAAAAATAACAATGTGTAGTTAAAGCCAGTTATTTAAATTCGTAGTTTAAATGTTTTATTACGTCAGCTGGGATTTTCAAAGGTTAGCTCTAAGAGATGAACTTATTTTGGTTTAAAGTGTACACTATAGTGCAGATACACGTAGGAAGGAAACCTTAATTACTGAAGATACAGTGAGACAAAAAAGGAAGCTAAAGGCAATGATTATGTGGGTTTTTTTCATTGTTTATTCAAATATGTGGCTTCAACAGTATATCTGTGTTTCTCTTGCATACTTTGCAGGTCATTCATGTCTATCTTTATATTGTCTCTGTAACGATTGCTCCTTTTTGCAGTTTAATCTGGTTTGTGACAAAAGGGGTTTAATTGAGGCATCACAGTCCATCTACATGGCTGGTGTTCTGGTCGGTTCGCTGACGTTTGGGGCGATTTCTGACAGGTATTACTTTTCCTTTAAACATCAGCAGATCTGTTGCCAGAGCAGGCTTTACAAATTTAACATCATTCCACATCCAAACCAAATTATGTTGCGTTCTTTAAAAAACTCAAACAGGGTTCTGATTAATGAACACGAGCTAAAAATGAAAAGGTTGTTTCTACGGAGTTGTAATCAGCAGACAATATCTTACCTGAGAAAAACAAGTATCTGAACCTCAGAACTAATCTCAGATTATATAAACTGAGCAAAGGTCTTCAATTCATCCTGAAGATCGCATCAAGTCCATGTCCTTCAAAGCTATGCTGCATTTGTTGTTGTTAAAGCCAGATTGCAAGCTGAAAAAAAAAAAGATACAAAACTTAAATTTGTTTGACTTACATTGAATACTTTTCTTTCAGACTGTTTCTCTGGACAGTTTCTTCAACAGTGTTAATTTCTGCATTCAACAAATCACATGTAACATTACATGTTACCTCAGTTTTTTTGAATTTGAAATTGTCAAGATTGTGTCTCGATTCAGACGTGGACTTGAGTCCGCTTCGAATTACAGTTTGCCTGCCTCTCAGTTCATTGTTTTCTGAACTGAGAGTGCTTTTGATTCCAGTCTGCTCTGCATCTTCAAGATCTGAACGAAATTTGAAGAAGCAGTATTCGATTTTTATGCTTCACAAATCCGAAACAAGCTTGCAGAGCACTGTGAAACAGCCAAAATACGTAGTTCTTTTAAATCACTTGAAGATGATTCTGGCAAATAAAGGATGCATTGTATTTGTCATATTAAAAAGTATAGAGCACAACCTAGCTAATTTAGAAAGTGTTCAAATCTACCCGTTCCTCTCCTTAGGTTTGGCAGAAGATTCGGGATCCTTCTTTCCGTTTTCATCCTGCTGCTGTTCAGCGTCAGCACAGCTTTCTCACCAAACATCTACGTTTACATGACTCTCAAATTTTTATGTGGAACTGGTGTTGTTATCATGACCACATTTGTGATGGGTAGGTTCATCGCTTTGTTTCTCCTTTATGTTCAAGAGTATTGTTCTGTGTCCTAATATCAGAAGCAGCAATATTGGCAAGTTTTTTTTGTTGTTGTTGTTGTTGTTTTTAACATATCAAACTTTTCAGACTTAAAAATGTAACATCAAGTCTATTTTACCACTTTCCAGTGGTGGAATGGACAGATCCTTCAAAATCGGCTCTCTGCACGATGTCCATCATGAGCTCCTTTTCAGTCGGACAGATAATTTTGTCTGGGATTGCTTATTTGATAACAAACTGGAAGATCATGCAACTGGTGCTCTTTAGCCCTCTTGCCATTGTCCTGGTGACCATGTTAAGGTGAGCAGATGGTATATTATTCCTAAAGAAACAGATTTTACACCATAAAATTAAATTCAAGGAAATTTAGGGTTCAAACTGAACAAATGTTGTTTATTTTCTCCCAGTTTTCTTCCAGAGTCAGCCAGATGGCTCGTGTCTCAGGGCAAGAAGGAGGCGGCTCTGAAGGAGCTCCAACGGGCCGCCAAAGCTAACAAGAGAAATGTAGCAGCGGATCTGCTTGATAAGGTCTTCGTCCACAATTAGACTTTTGACAAAACCAGATTTAGAAAGTCTTTGAATTGATGCGAACAATTTCCACCAACTCTTTTCTCATTTTTTTTTTTTAGATGAACGTGGAGCCTTCTCCGAACAGAAAGAACATGGTGGACATTTTCCGAATAGCCTACTTAAGAAAGAATACCGTAATCATGGCCCTTAACTGGTGTGCCCCATTTAAAATGGTTCATATCTGTAATCGCTACCAAACAGACATGTAAACTAAATGCATCCGATTCCAGGTTTGCGGCAACTTTCCTGTTTTACGGACTGAGCCTAAATATCGGAAGTTTCGGCCTAAACATCTACCTCACGCAGCTCATCTTCGGCTTCATTGAGATTCCTGCCAACTTGGTCGGCTTGACTCTGATTCAGCGCTTTGGGAGGAGAATATGCGAAGCAGGTTTCCTGTTCTTTGGCGGGGTTTCTTGTTTGGTGGCCATTGTTGTCCCAAAAGGTAGCTTTAAAGTCATGTCTATGTATATAATTTGTTGTTGCTATAAAGTGTGAAACAGTTTTGCACCTCCATGTTTTGTATCTTGTACCAATCAGATCTTCCAGTGGTGGTGACTGTCATAGCAATGCTGGGAAAGTTTGCTGCTACGGCTGCCTGCAGCACAGCCCATGTCTACACAGCTGAATTATATCCTACAGATTTAAGGTAACTTTCTTTCTTCTGCCTTTGCTCCACAATCTATAATAATCAGGACAGTGATGAAGCACATCTTTCAGTCTATTTGGGACTCCGTTTCTAATGCCATCATGTACACCAAGGAAGATGGAGATGCAAAATAATTTGCCGCAGTTGCAATTCAATAAAATAAAATTCCAGGAATATCCAGAACTGTCACTCTAATGCACAAACCTATAGGCATTCCCCACCTCTTCAATTAGCTAAATCCTCTGAATACTTTGTGAGGGAGATATGCAGAGTTGGCATAAAACATAGCAGCAGTGAATGGAAGCAGATGAAAGTCTCAATTTTCCATACGTGTTGCAATCGATGCGGATTTTATCCACATGGGTGTATAGCCACTACAGCAATGTAGCTGCAGTACTCAAACTGCATTTCTTCTATATTACAGTTTGAGAGATGGCAATTTAAAAAAACGAAGGCAATTAAAGGCCAGGTATACAAAGGAAGACACTTTTTATGCTTTGTTTTCTATTACTTTGATAACATCAAAGAAAAGTTTTCAGTCATAAATATTTAAACAGCTGTGCCAGGGCGCTGTGACCTTAAAGGTACTTTACGTTCTCAGAGCTCAACCTATTAAAGCAATAACTCATTCTAAAAACCAATAAAGCAAGAATGGTTTTAGTAGTTGTCTTAACCACCTAAATATCAGTAGAATTATTTTATGCAAATGTTCCGAAGAACAATTATTCTGAACATCTTTCAATATGTGGAGCTTAATAATGCAGAGCTGTAAACAGCTTTGATTTGGTCCAATTGTTCTTTTTTTTTTTTTTTTGTAGACACAGCGGTGTCGGCTTCAACGCCATGTGTGCTCGTGTGGCCGGCATACTCTCACCACTGGTCAGGCTCTTGGAGGTCTACCATTATAGTGTTCCCATGGTGGTGTACGGCATCATCCCAATGGCTGCTGGCGGTTTCTGCTTGCTGCTGCCCGAAACACTCAATGTTGAATTTCAGGAGGTCACTGTGATCGGGTAAGCTGAATACAACTAAAAAATTTTTTAGGTAATGCAATTGATACATTAAAGACCAACTTTATGGCATGTGCTCCTTCCCTGTTTTTTTTTTGTTTTGTTTTTTTTTGTAGACGTAGAATAAGTGGACCACTGGAGGACCAACGTTGCACTGAAGACACTGTCAAGAGTTCATAAACTGTAATGTTTATCTTGGTTGTCTTATGCCAGCCTCACCATGCTTTAAGCTTCTCCACTGTCTACAGTTTCTTTGCCTTTGTGATTGTGGTTGCTCAATAAAGAGCTCTAACAAACCTCTGAGGTCTTCACAGAGCAGCTGGATTTATACTGGTGACTCTATAGCATTTGGTTGGTTACTAATTTGTGAGACTAAAGCAGAAGGGGGCTAGATAAAAATGTCACCCTTTTTTGATTCGTTATAAAAATGCCTAAAAACCTTTTCTTCCATTAAGTACCATTAAGTGGCCTACTTCCTAAAATCTCAATAAAAACATGAATATTGTGAGAAAACATACAAAAGTCAAAGAGACACAAATACTTCTTCAGGAGACTTTCTTTATATGAAGTTTAATGCTGTGTTCAAGTTGTGCTCGGAACTGGGAAATTTAAACTTTCCAGTCAAAACAATTCAACTGGAAAGCCCCAATAAAATTTGCCCACTGAGAATCTGGGAGCAACTCCGATTACTCCCCGTTATGACTGGGGGACCGCGCACTCCAGTATGGCCGTTCATTACCTCAACAGTAGTAAGATGTGATGAATTCATATTTATTTTTACAAGACACACAAGAGAGTCTGTGTTAAATCAGTGTTACATGTAGTGCCTGCCACTCTAAACTGAACAATTTAAAAATGGTGTAAGGGCTAAAAATATTTGTAAGAGGCACTGTAAAGAATATCAATGGGCATCGCCGTGTTGCAATCCCGACTTTTTAAGTAGATCGCCGTTACCTCCGGTCTGAGCAGAGTTCCCACTTCCCAGGTAACTGCAATGCAGCACCAGCGCCAGTCTTAAATAATTTTAAAAAAAGACAAAAGTCTAAGATGCAGATGTACTAATTATTTTTAATGAATACAAATAAGAGAAACATGCCTGAACTCCAAAATAATCACAAAAAAAAGAAATGGAAATACTGAACATAAACAGAAAAGCAAATCATATAACGACCTCAGTTAAGTCCTAGACAAACATTGTTTACTCTTTTACCTGTTCAGTTGCTACAGTTTTGTTAGACGGTGTGGGAAAAAAAGGACAGAAGATCGAGAAAAAGAACAAAGCCACAAGATCATCTCCATTTGAAGCCAGACTCTGTCTACACAAAGCACACACACGAACACAATCTCATAAGGCTCGATCATAAAAGTCCTGACCAACTTTAGCAGGGCTCGATCTGAGACCATCAGCAAGTGATGAAAGACGGGATCACTGCTTTTTGTTGCTTCACCTGCGCAAGTTTCTTTCAGGAATTTTTATGTGAACTAGGACGTACATCTAAATCAAAATTACCTCCCAAGTCCCTCCAAAAAAATAAAAAATAAAGATTAAAAAAATACACTTGGTCATTTGTGAATTAAGGCTTGCACATAGGTTTACATCTTCACAGGCAAAATACAAAGCTTTTCTCTTAGTCTTTTTTTTTTGTTGTTGTTTTTTTGACGGCATCCAAAAATGGCATCCGGAGAGTTGTGACAATACATCATCATCTAATTAAATAGATAAACCGCACTAGAGTCCTAACTGTTTTATATGCAATACACAAGTTCCTCAGACTGGGTCAATGATGCAAAAACTTGCAAGAAAAATGGGCTTTTCCAACTGCTTACAATTAAGTTTTTTATTTATATCAGCTGTAAGAAACAAAAATGAGAAAGCATATGTGAGAGTGACTGTAAACGGCCCCCACCTGGGGTTTAATGAGCGGCGTTGACAATTCTTTTAGATTTTAGAAACTCAAAGCGATTTAGAACTTGTGTTCAAAATCTTCAAGGACAATTAACATTTTCCAACAGGAAATTATGAACAAACATCATAACTTGACGAATTGTTGCTGACATCAAAGGCCTTCAAAGAACCAATCGCCACATTTTGAGGAACCTACAATCATGTCGTGAGACAGAAACACAAGGCAGAGTGAAACGGCATCAAAATAAAAAAAAACAAATGACATTATTTACATCCTCAGGTTTAGGTCAAGTACTTATTTTCAGCCCTGTTAAAAATCAAATGTTAAATTCAAAAACTAATACCAGACAGTAATAAGAGTTCAGCTGCTGCACTTTTACTTCCAACTAAATAGAAGAAAACAACAAAAAAAAAAAACACAATGTCATGAAGGCTTTTGGATTTTTTCCTTCTTTTTCTGGTGATAGTCTGAATTAACTGGAGTTTTTCAGAGCACAGTTTTAAATATCAGAAGAATAAATCAGCTCATTTAAATGTGTAAAAGCCAAAACAAAAGAGCCATTGTAAATCTTTATCTTTAATTTGGGCCATATGGGCAGTTGCCCATGGGAGCAATAGAAAGGGGGCATCAGATAAAATATATATACATATGAAAAAAAACATAACTTATCTGTCAGTTGAACCCTAAACAAGTTTTCTATTGCTTTTATACATATTAAGTCAATGCGAAGTTGGTTGGCCCCCTTTGATGCTGAGGATAGGAGTACTGGGTTTTGTTCTTTATCTGTCTTATATCCTGCACTAAGACTGATGATGGATGCTTTCATTTCAGCTGGTTGGAAAAGAGAGAAATTGCCCAGGCTGCCCTTTGTGCAAGAACCATCACTAAACTCAGCATAGTGTTTCATTTTAAACAAACACTTGTATGTTAGTTGAGAATTTGTATTTTTATTTATCCAGTGACCTTAGTAATCAAATAATTAAGCAAAATATCAAGAGTTCATCAAGATCCATGTAAACCATAAAGCCTTCAATTATTATACACAGTTTAAGTTAATCTGATGTATAAAGTCCATTGCTTAAAACAGTCAAAACATGCGCTCACACGTGTTTGATATATATTTTAAAAAAAAACAGCGCTTTGAACTTTGAAGAAATAAGTCCTCCTTATGGGCACACGTTTAGGACAAAAATATTTTATACCTTTAAATCCAGTTTTGTAACACTGTGACACAAAGTTCCTGAGAAATAAACATATTAAAACTGCGCATTACCCATTTGCATGAGCCTGTTGAGCTTAAATTGCAAACAGAACCGGGTTGTTTCGCTGCATTGAAAATCCCCAGAGTTCTGCATACGATTTAACTGTGGAGGTAACCTTCTCAACTATGAATCTTTGTCATTTTCATTTATAGCATGTACATGAGATGAACTGTATAAATCATTTTTTGACGTACCGTTTTTAAAATGTAAATAGTAGCAGCTGCTCTCGAGACATGGCTGCCTCATTTCTTATCAGGAACGAGCGTCTTGGTCTACTTAAAAATAATTTCAAACCTAAATCTGCACAATCTGAAGTCAGTTTCTCAAAAGTATACCTGTTTTTAAATTTGCGCGGGTGTTTTCAGATTAGCAAAGCCGTAACCGTTGTATGTCGTTTTGGAAAGGGCGCCAAAGAAAAGCTTTTGCATTCTAATTCTAGAGGAGGTAAGCATTGCAGGAATGACATGTCATTCATCATTTGCAACTTTTGAGGATCAATTTTGCATAAACAAATAAATATTCTTGCAGTGAAATATTTGTTAATTTACTCCTTACACTGATAATAGGAATGCAGAAGCGAAGATAGTTAGCTAGAGAGTTAAGCTAATGAAATATTTCCTTTTTCGCCATTTTGACTGACCACTTTTCAATCAGTTTGAGGCGCAACTGCGACAGCAGCTTACATTTGTAACTCAAACAGTTCATACAGATGGGATGCGAGTTTTAAACAAACATAATGCCATAAAAAAAAGAAATTAATACCAAAAATATATGGAACATTATATCACATAGCTACAAAGCTAGAATTACATGTTCAAAATACGCCAGGCCCGAATTTGTCCCCATATCACCTGTTTTTGAAAAATGACACCATAATTTCATACTATTAAGAAGAGAGAGAGTTTAGGGCTAAGAATCACCAAAACACAATGGTGCAATTGATTATTGACAATTGATTATTGACAATTCAATTGATGACAAATTACAGACTGAAAAAAAAAAAAAATCATATTTTGGCATTACTTTATTTTCCATCTCATCAGCACTCATAAAAAAAAAAAGAAAGGTAAAAAGTTTGGCATCAGCACTTGAAGCCACATTTGTGCATTTCAAACGACACAATGGGGGAAGAGGAGGCGTCTCCAAAACGTGCATTCAGTAGTTTTTATGATTATAAGGCATTGTTAAACTTATCAGGAACATCGGGATTTGAGGGTGTTGGATCAGATTGTGCAAATGCGTCACATATTAACGAGAGAATAACAGGACGAAGGAACCAGAAGGTTAGATGAAAACATTTGTCTTGTAAATGCTCGAATCCTTCTACATATACACTGTAAACTTTGAGCGATTCTCACACTGTACGATCTGATACGACGGCTGACCACCTAATCCAACAAGGTGGTATTGTATAATCCTATGGGTAGCAAAATGGTACTATTTTCTTTGGCAGTAGTGGTTTCTTTACAGCCATGGAACGAGGAAAAAAAAATGCATTAAACTATTTTTTTAATTTTTTTTTTTAATTTTCACATTTTTTAGGCAAGTCACGGTTCCAAGTAGAACAACAGTTTAACTAATGCTGAGCTGAGCAAAGCCCATCAGCTTGTTGTCATCTGGTATTTCAGATTCCTCCACTCCAGAAGCCTGTGAAGAGATCGAAATCAGTCAGTTAGTATTCACCAAGTTGGATTATTTCTTTTTAATAAGTACATGGGTAAAGATTTGTAATATCCCCATTATGTTTCAAAATATGTTGATGAGGTTTTAGCAGCAGTAAAGTTCGTCACAAAGAAGGAGGTTTAAACTCCTATTCTTGGAAAATCTGGGAGGAAAAAAATTCCCCTGGTTGGATGAACGAAGTACCATTACTGTAATAATGCAATTAATAATATGCCCAACATGGGAGAAAAAGGTTTCACTCACCAGTTTGAATGTTACATTTTTATGGGCTTGAGGCTCATCGACTATCTTCTGCAAATTTGCAGCAACTGAAAGAGAAATTGCGTTTCAGTACAAAGAAATGGATAAAGTAATCTTGGAAGAGAATGTAGATGTAGGATGGCTTCACTGACATTTTTAAAGAATAAAGGGTGGAAATAATGAATACAATTCTATACTTTAAGACT